CTGTATATCGGTCGGGCGGAGAGGTTCCCAGGTTGTCGCGGTCGCGACGGTTGTCGCGGAAGTGACACACTGTTGTTAATTTTTGGATAGAAAGCTGTCCAGGAGGTCGCTGGCGCAACAATTCTCGCGGGCGCGATAGGCGTCGCTAGCGCGACACCAAATATCGAGCTGCTGAAGCCCGCGAGGGCCCGTCCCGGGCGTAATTTTTTTTTTTTTTTTTTTTTTTTTTTTGGAATGTGAAATAATGATACTTGTTTTTTTCTTCTGAGGTCACGACATTAAAAGTTGTTTTTCTTTTGTTTTTGAAAAACGGATATATAATGTAGAATCGTTGTTTATTCTTTATTTTACACTAAAAATGAGTACAAGTAGACCTATAACGAGTTTAATATTTTTATAATGTATTATATGACGAATACACGATCGTTTTAAGGTAGATTTTGTCAAAAAACAAAAATAACGACTGTACATTCATTATAACAAATGTACATTCGTTCTAGTTGTTTTTCTTAACCAACGTGCTTTCTTTACGGTTTTGTTTTTTGAGTTACTTTATAACGCTTGTATGTTGACGTTACGTGTCATTGGAACGATAGTTTGAAGTTGTTAGAGCGCCGAAACACTCACAACGAATCTCTTTTTTTGAAATAACAACACTTGTTATTTGCTTTTGTTTTTGAAAAATGAAAGATGATGTGGAATATTTGTAAATTCTTTATTTTACATAAAAAAATGAATAAAATGAGACCCATAACGATCTTAACATCTTTATAACATGTTATATGACGGACGCACGGTCGTGTAAGACACATTTGTTACGAAAAACAACTATAACTAATGTACATTAGTTATAACTAATGAACATTCGTTATAGTGGTTTTTCGACCAAACCGCACTTTCTTTACGGTTTTGTTTTTCGTGTTACTTGATAACGCTTGTATGTTGATGTTACGTATCATTGGAACGTTAGTTTGAAGTTGTTAGAGCGCCGAAACACTCACAACGAATCTCTTTTTTTGAAATAACAACACTTGTTATTTGCTTTTGTTTTTGAAAAATGAAAGATGATGTGGAATATTTGTAAATTCTTTATTTTACATGAAAAAATGAATAAAATGAGACCCATAACGATCTTAACATCTTTATAACGTGTTATATGACGGACGCACGGTCGTGTAAGGCGCATTTGTTACGAAAAACAACTATAACTAATGTACATTAATTATAACTAATGAACATTCGTTATAGTGATTTTTCGACCAAACCGCGCTTTCTTTACGGTTTTGTTTTTTCGTGTTACTTGATAACGCTTGTATGCTGATGTTACGTGTCATTGGAACGATAGTTTGAAGTTGTTAGAGCGCCGAAACACTCACAACGAGTCTCTTTTTTTTTTTTTAAATAACAACACTTGTTATTTGCTTTTGTTTTTGAAAAATGAAAGATGATGTGGAATATTTGTAAAATCTTTATTTTACATGAAAAAATGAATAAAATGAGACCCATAACGATCTTAACATCTTTATAACGTGTTATATGACGGACGCACGATCTTGTAAGGCGCATTTGTTACGAAAAACAACTATAACTAATGTACAATAGTTATAACTAATGAACATTCGTTATAGTGGTTTTTCGACCAAACCGCGCTTTCTTTACGGTTTTGTTTTTCGTGTTACTTGGTAACGCTTGTATGTTGATGTTACGTGTCATTGGAACGATAGTTTGAAGTTGTTAGAGCGCCGAAACACTCACAACGAGTCTCTTTTTTTTGAAATAACAACACTTGTTATTTGCTTTTGTTTTTGAAAAATGAAAGATGATGTGGAATATTTGTAAATTCTTTATTTTACATGAATAAATAAATAAAATGAGACCAATAACGATCTTAACATCTTTATAACGTGTTATATGACGGACGCACGGTCGTGTAAGGCGCATTTGTTACGAAAAACAACTATAACTAATGTACATCAGTTATAACTAATGAACATTCGTTATAGTGGTTTTTCGACCAAACCGCGCTTTCTTTACGGTTTTTTGTTTTTCGAGTTACTTGATAACGCTTGTATGTTGATGTTACGTGTCATTGGAACGATAGTTTGAAGTTGTTAGAGCGCCGAGACACTCACAACGAGTCTCTTTTTTTTGAAATAACAACACTTGTTATTTGCTTTTGTTTTTGCAAAATGAAAGATGATGTGGAATATTTGTAAATTCTTTATTTTACATGAATAAATAAATAAAATGAAACCAATAACGATCTTAACATCTTTATAACGTGTTATATGACGGACGCACGGTCGTGTAAGGCGCATTTGTTACGAAAAACAACTATAACTAATGTACATCAGTTATAACTAATGAACATTCGTTATAGTGGTTTTTCGACCAAACCGCGCTTTCTTTACGGTTTTTTGTTTTTCGAGTTACTTGATAACGCTTGTATGTTGATGTTACGTGTCATTGGAACGATAGTTTGAAGTTGTTAGAGCGCCGAGACACTCACAACGAGTCTCTTTTTTTTGAAATAACAACACTTGTTATTTGCTTTTGTTTTTGCAAAATGAAAGATGATGTGGAATATTTGTAAATTCTTTATTTTACATGAATAAATAAATAAAATGAAACCAATAACGATCTTAACATCTTTATAACGTGTTATATGACGGACGCACGGTCGTGTAAGGCGCATTTGTTACGAAAAACAACTATAACTAATGTACATCAGTTATAACTAATGAACATTCGTTATAGTGGTTTTTCGACCAAACCGCGCTTTCTTTACGGTTTTTTGTTTTTCGAGTTACTTGATAACGCTTGTATGTTGATGTTACGTGTCATTGGAACGATAGTTTGAAGTTGTTAGAGCGCCGAGACACTCACAACGAGTCTCTTTTTTTTGAAATAACAACACTTGTTATTTGCTTTTGTTTTTGAAAAATGAATAATGATGTGGAATATTTGTAAATTTCTTATTTTACATGAAAAAATGAATAATATGAGACCCATAACGATCTTAAAATCTCTATAACGTGTTATATGACGGACGCACGATCGTGTAAGGCGCATTTGTTACGAAAAACAACTATAACTAATGTACATTAGTTATAACTAATGAACATTCGTTATAGTGGTTTTTCGACCAAACCACGCTTTCTTTACGGTTTTTTTTTTTGTGTTACTTGATAACGCTTGTATGTTGATGTTACGTGTCATTGGAACGATAGTTTGAAGTTGTTAGAGCGCCGAAACACTCACAACGAGTCTCTTTTTTTGAAATAACAACACTTGTTATTTGCTTTTGTTTTTGAAAAATGAAAGATGATGTGGAATATTTGTAAATTCTTTATTTTACATGAAAAAATGAATAAAATGAGACCCATAACGATCTTAACATCTTTATAACGTGTTATATGACGGGCGCACGGTCTTGTAAGGCGCATTTGTTACGAAAAACAACTATAACTAATGTACATTAGTTATAACTAATGAACATTCGTTATAGTGGTTTTTCGACCAAACCGCGCTTTCTTTACGGTTTTGTTTTTCGTGTTACTTGATAACGCTTGTATGTTGATGTTACGTGTCATTGGAATGATAGTTTGAAGTTGTTAGAGCGCCGAAACACTCACAACGAATCTTTTTTTTTTTGAAATAACAACACTTGTTATTTGCTTTTGTTTTTGAAAAATGAAAGATGATGTGGAATATTTGTAAATTCTTTATTAAATGAGATCCATAACGATCTTAACATCTTTATAACGTGTTATATGACGGACGCACGGTCGTGTAAGGAGCATTTGTTACGAAAAACAACTATACCTAATGTACATTAGTTATAACTAATGAACATTCGTTATAGTGGTTTTTCGACCAAACCACGCTTTCTTTACGGTTTTTTTTTTGAAGACACAACTATAACATTTTTGTTGGTCATATATCACCATTTAACGTTAGTTTGGACCCGTTAGAGCGCCGAAATAATCATAAGAAACTCTTTTTGAAATAAAGTTTTTTTTTTTTTTTGTCTGTCGCGACCGCGATGGCCGAGTCAAAACACTATACAAACAGATTAAAACCCTATAAGTCAAAAGCAATACACTAATCAAAATATAACTTCAAGTTGCTCCATTGATGTTAATCTCTGGACACCTTCCACGATTATGGCCGACTTTGGAACGCTTGCTACATTTACGAATTTGGCGAAGTTTAGTAGTTGATTTTCTTCAAGCCTCACCACATTTCTACATTCTTTAAAACAATGGGATATGTCATAACGAAATTACATTCCTTATGAAATAAACATCAAATAACGGATCTACATTCGCTATGAAATAATTCGATAATAAATCTACATTCGTTATGACTTTTCTTCAGATAACGAATGTACATTCGGTATGAAACTACATAACGACTGCAAATTCGTTATGTACAAAAAATTAGAAAAAAAACCTCAATGCCACAAAACGATGATAAATATGAAATCAACATGTTTATCAATCATAAAATATGAACAAAAATGTTTTTTTCTAAAATAAGAACAAACCCTAACATAGTTTAGTTGTTGATCTTCCACCATCACCACATTTCTTTTGCAATATGTAATCCAAAGTTTATGTATAATCATCATATTTTGTTCTCACCTTTTCAAGAGAAGGGAGGATGGGCGAGAGAGAGGAGCAGAGCGAGAGAGATGAGACGAGAGAGACGAGCAGAGTTCTAAAATGCCGCGATCAGATTTTTTCTTTTTCTTTTTCTTTTTTTATTATTACAAAATTGGTAACAAAATAGAAGAAGAGTTAATATAGTCATTAAACATTTAAGGCTATTTTAGAAATTTCATTTATTTATTTACCTTTTATTTAATTGAGGGTCATTTGCACAAAAAACTTATTGATAAGGTCATTTAAATAAAATATCCCTTTGACCATCCCTTTTAAACAAACCACCCCCAGGTAAACACCTTTCCTTTTCACAAACTCTCTTTCCAATTTTCAAAATGGAACCTTTTCACAAACTCTTCAAACCCTAAAGCAAACCAACACCCCCTTCATCTCCACTCGCCGCCGCCCCATCTACCCAAATCTTCTCGCTGCTACATCGACATGTTCGGAATGAGATTTACACATCTGAACACTCCGACCGACCAATCACTCCGACTGTAAGATTTAATCGAAGTAAGATTTGCTTAAAGGACGGATATGGAAGTGTCGGTGGTGGCATCGGTGGTGCAGCTGTAGGCGCAGCACCTGGCGCAGATAACAACGGAGTTGCAGAAACTGACGGGGATCTTCAAAACCTTTAATCCCCTTTTCTGAATTCTTAAATTTTAAGATATCATGGTCGGTCGAGACAGAAAAGCAAGAAACTATTTTTCAGGAGTAGAATTCAAAACAAAGTGAAGGATCCTTGAGGTTAATTGGCGTGGCTCCAGGTAAGTTCATTATGAATTCAAAGAAAAATATCATCTCTGATGTGTCTGCTGAGAAGTCATTTACGCATAACCATATTGGTGCTTCTGATGATGAAAAAATGCGGCGCTTTTGGCCATCAAAACTTATTTCAAGGTGTTAAGTCGATCAAAGCTTTTTTTGTGGGTGGGAGGCAAATTTCCAATCTGCCGATTCTGAAAATCAACCTGAATTTCTGGATGCCTCAGTTGACTCCAAAAATAATGTCACAGATTAATCCAACTGAAATTGGCAGTCCGTGAACTCATTCTTCTAAAAGAATCCTTGAGACATTTTGGCATTTTGTTCCCTCGTGTCTGAATTGCTGTGATTTTTCTTATCAATCAATCTATTTAATAATAGAATTTTGTTTTCAACGTGAGTTTTTTTTTTTTATATGCTTGTAATCTTAGTTACACTAAGATAGTTTTACATGTTTGAAAAGTGGTTGAAAAGTATTGTTTTAACAGGCTGAGAGCCTGAGATGCTATTCTTACCCCTACCGTCCTTCCATGTTGTCGGCTCCCAGGCGCATACAGTACGAATCACTCGCCGGCAGGTTGTCAACCTTCAATGACTTTCTAGGATCACCTGAACTCGAAGGGGCCTCTAGAGCCCATGTAAAGAAGGTAAAGTGATGGGTCCCTCAAATTTTAAGCTTATATGTGGTTTCGTCTGTGTAATTTTGGAGCTTCTAGATGAAGGAATGTTAATTCTCAAAGATACTTCAGTTTTACTATGCTTGGTTTCTGAATCAGCACACATATTCCAACGAGCATTAACCAGTACAAAGTTCAAACTTCACAGCAGAGATATTACAGAAGCCTTGCGGTGGGTAGATTGGCGTTGGAGAGGCAAAACTCATCTTTCACGTGACAAGGACGGTGTGGCTGCACTAAAGCAGATTTCGCAGGGGTCGCGAGGGACTGGTGTGAGGCGTGTTTTATGTTTCTTTCTCGTTTGTTTTGGGTTGCATAGTGATGAAATTTGTTTCTTGGTGGCTTTTTTTTTTTTAAATAAGATTTGTTTCTGTATTAATAGTACAAGCAAATTTTACATTTGTAGGTGGAAATTGACCGAAGCAGTTATTCATTGGTTCACTGAAGAAGAGAACTCATGCAATGGTACGAAAAAAAGTTCTAAAATTCAAAGCTTGGCTTTCGTCCCATCTAGTTTAGAAGCAACTATTATAACGAGATCTTGAGTTCTTTACCATTTGCAGTGTACATCAATCCAATATCTGGCCTTTTGAATCTCGGTGTGAATATGTCAAAGGAGTTTCCAATGCGTGACATGGGACCATGTATTAATATTTCATAAGGAGGTCCAGAGGAACTATTGTAGGCTGATTATTTGTCAAACATGTGTTATGAATCACATGAGACGATATGTCTTGTTTAAATATATGTTAAACATATTTCTATAACATATTATAGAGGATTTTATTCTTTAGTCTTTAAGGTGGACTATCCGTTAAACAATTAGTGGACTATCCGTTAAACAATTAGTGTAATGGGTTTCCTTTTCTCAGGTTAGCATTCTCGCTTATGCTACCTATCTACAATCTTACTGGAGCAAATTAACAAAAACGAGAGTCTGTTGAAAAAGTACAAGAACTGGGACCACCATCATGGGCAGTCATTGAGCAATTGTGCTAATCAGAAAGGCAAATCGTCTTTGCGGAGTGAGGATGATCTATGGCTCGAAGGCCATTCTCACGCTTCTCAGGTGAGGTTTCCCTTGGGAAACATATACATTTTATTTTATGTTAACCTTATCAAACAACTTATCTATCTATGTGAATATCTCATATTGATTTGGTCTGTGCAGTCGAATGAAATTTGTAATTTAATGGATGCTAAAGTGCGCAATTTGAATTCAGTTTCCAGCAAGCCGTAGTGTATTGAGGTAATATATGAGTAAGGTTTTTAATAATTGTTGGGGTGAAAAGAAATAGGAAATGACATTAGTTAGCTTTTGTTATATGCAAATCAGTATTTTAACAATTTGGGTTTAGTTAAAGTGGTTAAAAAGATAGACTTCTCCTCGTGGATGAACACAAACAAGAGAGAAGGATCTACGCCTTTACTATTGATGTTTTCTTATATAAGTTTAATGATGTGTTTTTACATGTTTGTCTGATTGGTTGCATGCTGGCTTGAATCTTTACTGGTGGCAGGAGATATTTTCAAGAAACTTCAAATATGGAAGCTCATAGTTTCTTTTTTTGGTTTTACGTCCACCAGAAATGGTTTTCAATGTTTACCTTCTGATACTACTTTCGTGTGTCTGAGCGGAAAATACATTATCATAAACACACTGTAAGTTTTTGTTCTAGCCCAATTTCATTCATGCCATTTCTCATATGAAATTCATATGCCAGATTATGTGCTATTGTTGGAGAAAGTAACGTGTATTTCTAAAAGTGAAGTGTCGGATATGGATTGATGGTTTAATATGTAGTATGCTTTAAACTTGAGTTTCAGTTAAGTTTTCTAAGTCATAACCAATTGAAGTTAGATAAAGGTGTACTTAAATATAAATATTGAGATTGTATATAAATATCGTGATTTCATTGTTCAATGAATGAGTAATCTGTTGAGTGAACCATCAACTAATTGTAAATTCCTATCTACATCATTTCTTTGTGTTTTCCAAGCGTCCCAGCAGGTCGAAATTTTCACCATTTATTCTTGTTTTGGTCTTTTCCTTTTTTTGTGTTTATTCTTGAGCTTGATATTAGTTCCAGTACTGTTTTAATGATTACTCTTCCTTTTCAAGAAATAAACTATACCTTTTTATTTACATATATATGTATATTTTTTTTTATTCACGGATTTAGATCCATTAATGTCTGAGGGCTACTTAATGAATGCGCAGACACTTTGAAACTTCGGCGGACTTGATAATTTATGTACTCTACCATTGTTATATTATCTGTAGCAAGGTATATTTTTTTTCTTTGATTATGTCTAAATTCACCAACAATGTTCTCCCTAAATTTTGTTGTAAAATTTTGATATCTCAGACCATGGAAGTCTATTGGTGGGGTTTCTCCATGGCCATGGTTTTTCGATTGCCAACAAGAAGTTTAAGCCTACCGGTCATAGAATTTAATGTCGGTCATAGAATTTAATGTCTGTTCGTCAGATTAGTTGCTCTTACCTCCTATTTACATGAGATAAGTGTATAAATAGTATCACTATTCACTCTCTCTAGAGAAAAACCAAGCATTATGTGTGATATGCATAGAACACATTAATACTGATACCATACCTCGAAAGCCAAATCCCATGATCTCATTAGTTTTCTTAAAAACAGATTATGGTTTCTTGCTTTGTGAAGACCTCACATTTTGAGGAATACTTGTGTGTTAAGGTATGAGTACATTCTTTACTATTTTACCCCTGCATGTAGTTCATTCAAATCATATAATTGAAAATTCTTTCACTCGCTTTAGTCATTGAAACTTTACACTTGTGGCTAATTTAATTTTTCATCTTCGGTTGTCAAACAGGAAGCCGTACTTTTTTACCTTCTCAGGGTCATTGCTCCCCACCGTGCTTGACTTGCCACCCCAATCCGTATAGTCCAAAAGATTAGTAGGTTCTCGATTCTCTTGCATATGAATATATAAAAGTGAGAAAGTGGTAAAGTTATATTACAGTTGTTAGAAATTGTCTTGTGGTTAGCAATTGTCTTGTAGCTGCTATTTGTATCTTCTACCATTCACGTGTCTTAATTTTTAGTAATTGGCACGCGTGATCCCTGCCTTTCACTAAGTGGGACATGCATATGGTGTATCACTAGGTGATAAATAAATAAAAGATGTTTGCCTTGAACCAATTATGGAAAGGTAAACGAAAAATTCGAGTTTCAAGATAGACTATCTTCACAATATGAAAAGGGTGGAGTGTGTAGAGGGATTTGAATGATTTGGGATATATGAAAATAGAACAATGTTTATTATTGTTATAATATGTTATTGAATTGAAGAGAAAGAGGCCTATGTGCGACCATTCTGTGCTTTAAAATTGAGAAGGAAAAAGGTGAAAGAGGAATATTATTCATTCCACCTACTTTATCCTTGTGGTTCTATTGGAATGAGAGTTTTAGTTATTGATTATGTTTATTTTATCTTATGTTTGATAAATATTTTTCATTAAATGCTCCAGGAAGATTTTGCTTGGGTAGTTCTCAAAATCATATATGTTCAATTTGGGAATCTCTCTGATGCTAAAAAGGGAAAGGATTGGCAAAAAAAATAAATTACATATATATATATATATACATATATGTATATATATATGTTTGAAAAATGAATTTAACTAATATTTGGATCAATGTTCGTGTAGATAAAAGATACGTAAGAAGTCATCGATCGGACGGCCTTAAATGCAACTCATCTCGGCTGATGGGCTCATCTGATGTCATCTGTCGACAGGTTTCGGTGTGGCAGGGAGGTCTCAATATTCATTACGAGCCTCTATTCTAAGGTCAGGTATGTTCTTAAAAAAAATATTCCGATGAAGCAAAATATGTAAGGAGAGATTATATTAGCCCCTCTACTATATGTGGGTTAGGTGGATATATGTTTAACAATCGGTCTGGTCTATTTAATTTTTTGTATGAGTGTAGATGTTTGACTTTGTAGCTACTTTTTTTCCTTATACATTGAAAAGAGTGCGTAAGAAATTTGATTTGGATTGTTCTAATTGTTTTCCAAAAACGACGCATATTTATTGAAACAATGATGCAAAAACGTTGTTGCATAGTTAGTGATAAAGTAGTTAGTGTAAAAATGTTCCCTTACCTTGTCCCTTGACGAGGTAGAGCTGTGAAATTCGGGCGACGTTCCAATACGAAAAGAGCCCGAGAGAGGAAGCAGGAAGACTTAACCGGAAGTTCGTCCAGTAGAAGTAGAAGCTGAATCGATGAAGTCATCTCTAAGAACTAGTGGTGTTTTGACATCACTGGCAATAGATCAGGTAAGAGAGGATAGTAAAGAGTCAAACAATCGATAAGTTCGAACATTGATTTTGGGATAGATTTCAAGCAAGCAAGGTGGAAGATTTTCTTACCCATGGGAAACCGTGTCTGAGTACCAAGCTGAGACTTAGCATACGAAAGAGCAAACGTTGAGAAAAAGGGAGGACAGAGAAACCTTAACCTTGAGATTTTAGTACCTTTGGGTAAATGTCACCCATTTAAACTGTGAGACCCTTAAGTTTGTACCAGGAAGAAGTTAGGCCCGAGGCTTACTGCACCGAGTTAACTCAGCGCCGCAGTACAGTGATACTACTAGCATAAGATGTGGATACGACTGTGTTGGTGATTGTAGGCGACACTGATGCCGCAGGTACATCACACGCTGGTATCACATGCAGGTGTTCTGTGCCCGTGTGCCCTAGGTAGGTAGTGGGTAAACCGCATGCAACGTACCTCGTGCAACGTGTTCCGTAGTCGGGAGCCGGGTCACGGTGAGTCGAACTGCAATTGCTAGTTGTCCTCATCCATAGTACAGATCGATCCACAATCAGGAAAGATGATCAGAACGCTTAAAGGATGTCGTTTTGAATGACAGATGCGTTTAGTAGAACGATTTGCCATTTAAAGCAGTTAATAGAAGATGATAGACATGATACCGTATGTTGTAGTACGGACACGAGTGTTGATCACTGACGTACAAGAAAGAGATAGCAGGAGAATGATTCTCGGTCAAAAGTAGATCGACAGATAAGGAAGTAGAAATCAGTGATCCATACAAAGACTAAGATAACCCTGAACCGACGAAAGTCGCGTGCAGGCCAGCGACAAAAAGACTTTCAGACCAGTGTGTACGGCAAGGTGACCCTAAGGGTCACAACCGTAAAATGTTACAATAGTGAAATACATCAATATCCAAAAATAGTATAATGTCAGAAGTGGTTCCTAATTTTGGAGGTGGTTTTGAACCATTTTTTTTTAAAAAACAAATTGTTGGACACGTCGTTCAAGCGATGATATACGGAGAGCGAGCGTGGAAGGAGCATACGTTTCCACGTCTGAGTTTTATTGGTTCTCTTGTCGGTTATCTTCCGTGGGTAGGTCCTAAGGTTGTAGTACCTAGTATAAGCCAGCGTGCCCGTTATGTACGTTGAATTGGTATTCCATTTGTACAATTTTTACATGGCTCGCGGTATTCCTTTTCCTACGCGACTTTTGATGCTTCATCCGAATTTCCGAGGGGGAAGTGTGTTTTATGCATTGCTGTATGCTTTTATCTATGGGTCCGAGCTGAATCGTATTTCCATCCGGTGGATTCCTTATATGTGATTATGAAATTTAATTTCTTATTTTTCAATTCACGTATTTATTTTAATAATTAATACTTGTAAATATAGGGTGTCAGAGTGTGTGTAGGTTAATTCCGCTATATTCCAATAGAGGATACTGATACGATTGACGCGTACCTCACAATAAAACCACTGACGGGTGTCCTTAACGCATTATGAGAGATGGCGTGACTTTGGAACAATGGAAGTATAGAATTTTTTTTGTTGGAACTTAAATATAAATATCAATATTATAGATATGAGTAACATTGATTTTGTAAAAAAAAAGTTTCTACAGACAAGAGTTTGTGAAGTTAGATGGTCTGTCGTCAATGCATGTTTTCGACTAAACGTGCTCGGATTTTGTCAAACTCAAAGTAACCCCATCGTATCCTGTAGGTATTCTGACACATATAGTACCTCCCTCATCCACTCCACACCACACTAGGGTAATAGCATCGTCAATGCATGTTTTCGACATGCTATTATCCTGGTGGGGTGTGGAGTGGATGAGGGAGGGAGGTACTATATGTGCCAGAATACTTACGAGATGCGGTGGAGCCACTTTGGGTTTGGCAAAATTCGATCACGTTTAGTCGGAAACATGAATTGACGATAGGCCATCAACCTTCACAAATTCTGTAGAATTTTTTTTTTTACAAAATCTATTTTACTCATATCTATAATATTGATATTCATATTTAAGTTCGAACAAAAAAACAAAATTAAATATTTACATTATCCCAAAAACACGTCATCTCCCATGATGCGTTAAGGACGCCCGTCAGTGGTTTTGTTGCGAGTTACGCGCCAATCGTGTCAGTATCCTCTCTGGGAATATAGCAGAACACACCTACACGCACTCTGACACCCTATATTTACAAGTATTAATTATAAAATTTTGACTTCTAAAATAAAAACGTGAATTGAAGAAGAAGAAATTAAATTTAATACTCACATACAAGGAATCTACCTGATGGAAATACTGGATAGAGGCATACAACAATGCATAGAACACACTTCCCCCTCGAAAATTCGGATGAAGCATCAAAAGTCACGTAGCGAAAGGAGTACCGTGAGCCATGTAAAAATTATACAAATAGAATACCAATTCCACTGTTGAATGTACATATCAACATAACGGGCCCGCTGGCTTATATTAGGTACTACGACCTCAGGACCTACCCACAGAAGATCACCGACAAAAGAACCAATAAACCTAAGACGTGGAAACGTGTGCTCCTTCCACGTTCGCTCTCCGTATATCACCGCTTGTACGACGTGTGCCCAGCAATTTGCTTTAAAAAAAAGAACAAAAGTGGTTCAAAACCATCTCCAAGATTAGGAACCACTTTTTAGATATTGATGTATTTCACTATTGTAACATTTTACTAAAATGTAATAATAACACTTTAGAAGCAGCACTTTTATATATTTAATAATATTATAATTATCATTATTAGAAGAAAGACATTTAGAAATGGCAAAAAGACTTTAGACCTGACCCGGAGCATTTGGGGTAAGTGTTGTAAACGAATCGAATTGAAACGAATACTCAACTATTCAATTCTAATTCTGGAAAATATTCGACTATTCGTCTTCGATTCGTTATTGATTTAATTTGGAATTCTTACTCGAATCGATTAAGATAATCAAATATATTCTATTAGATTCGGTACTCGTTTTCAGAAATTATCCATAAATATATTTATGTATTTTTTGAATATATGTTTAGAATATAATATATATTTTTAAATTAAATATTTAGTTTTATCTAAACTATATTACGAAATATAGGATTATGAAAAAAATGCAACAATCAATATATTATAATCATTTTTTTTTCAGAAATATTGAAATAAAAAAAAACCTGTGTCCCACAAATCTGTTAAGCCTTGTGAAAAACGGATCGTTTTCGAAATTGGGTTCCATATTACAATACATTTTAGGCAGGTCAAATTACACAATCACATGAAATATAGATGTGGAAGTTTGTTGAATCTAGTTAATTAATAGATACATAAAATAATTATGTGCAATTTGGGATTTAATTATATAAAACACCCAAATGATAAGTTTTAGTTGCGGCCTTTTTTCTTGGTAACAAAACGCACCAGCTCAATTTCACTCGCCGCCTCAGTTCTCTCTCCCCTTTTTTGTATTTTTGTCTGAAACTCGACAAGCCCTAATTGTGATTTCCTAATTTTCAGCTTCATTTATTGTTTTGTGTTTGAAATCGTCACTGATGTTTCCAATTTTGTGAAGACGAGTAGATGTGTTTCGATTTTCACAATTGTTTTCTAATCTTAGAAAACAATTGAGAAAACAATTATGAAAATCAAAATCTTTCTCCGGTTGTACTTCGATCACCGAGGACAAACAGAAGATCCTTACATTGGCATTTTTTGTTACCCCAGGCGGAAAGGTAATACCGAATTAGGCTTCTCGATTTAAGTTTATGCTTTTTTTTGTTCAGTTTTGACAAAAGACAGATTTTTGTTTTCATTCCAATTTTCTGAAAAAATCGTTGAACATGTGTATGTGTATGTTGATAGTAGATCTATTATGGCATCTTTTCTTTCATTTGTTTGGTCTGTAATTGTGATAATATAGATTCTTAAAATTCTGAGCAAATAACATGATGTATTTTTTAACTTGGATTTTTTTTATATATATTTTTCTATTGTCAGATTTCAAAAAAATTCAAAATGATGTTTTATTTTTTGAAATTTTTGTTACTGTCATGCTTTTTTTAGCTTAATAGTAGAATTATAATTTATGTTTATTGTTTCATGATGATATATCAATTTTTGTTAAGTTGACCTTTTACCAAAAAAAATANTTGTTAAGTTGAACTTTTACAAAAAAAAAAATAGGCACATGCATATATGAATCTGTACAAATATTTGATTGAAAGAGTTTTATATGAATTTTCTGACAAAAAAAAATGTTAGAACTGAATCATTCATCTGTGTAAACATGCTAAACCTGTTGCAGAATTTTATAAGTGAGCCTTCGGGTTTTGCTTAGTTTCGTAATCACGTATTGCTAATTTTAGTGAGCTGTAAGTACATTTGTATATCTTCTGACCATATTTTTTTTATTTTTGTGCATGAGAATCGTGGATATATACTAAGGAACTTTGATGAAGTACAATCAGCTGCAATATTACATAGCACAACATAAAATACAATTTTCTTTACAGGTAAGTGTTTTACATATATATGTTAATTTCAGTGAGTATAAATGTATTAAACATTTTTAAAGTGATCATAACAACAAGTGAAATTAAGTAGAAGCTTAATATATGAGATAATTTTTATGTCCTCGTCTTATATTTTTTCTAAGATCTTATAATCTTTTGTTTACAGAATCATGTGAAGCTAACTGGTGGCAAACATTGATCATCGACCTCATAAGGTTTGATTTCATTACATATGTTTCTATTTCATTATTTTATTGTAAGACCTGTCTACATTTTGATGGATATCTTGTTATGTTTAACTAAATTGACATATTTTAATTTATGTTTTACTTGTACTAAAATATATTTTTGGCATAAATAAATAGTCATTCATCACATGTTTCTAGAAATAACAACTTTGAACAGTTTCTTAGCTGAGCTTAATTACCAATCCCAGGCCCAATAGAAGCAAGCCCTTATGTGTGTTACTGGTCATAACATATGTTATTGATTTTCTTCAATAAAACTTAGGGCTATACATTGAAATGATGCATGTGTGTATAGAAACCAAGGTTTTGAAAACATGACCGGTTCGACCGGTTCAACTGGGAACCAGCCACTATACCGGTCCGGTTAGTGGTATGGAACCGCTAGGTCTCAAAACCGGTCAAATCGGGAGAACCGGAAGCGGCTAGTCCGGCTGAGCGGTCCGGTGTTGCATTTGCACAGAGTCAACAATAGAACCACTTAAATAGCTTATATTTTTGTTTGTGTATCCGATGTGGGATGTACTCAAACATAGGGTTATTGGGCTTTTATTGCATTATTGGGACTTATTTAATAATTGTTTAAAGAATCGGTGTTGGCACTTGGCACCTCTGTCACTGTGCCTTATTGGGCATATCTAAAGCAAATATTGAATTAAGCTCCTTATTGGGCCTTACTATAAGTAATTTGTCATTTACCTTATTGGAGTGACTCCTAATTGCTTTCAAAATTTATTTTCCATTATAATGATATAATCACATTATTTTTTATGAAAATAATATTACTAATTAATATTATAATATCATGTTAGCTAAAATAATTAGACTATACTTAGATTTCTTATTTACTTTTCTTTCATCTATTTAGAAAAAATGTCATTATGCAGTATAAAATCAATGATAACAATATATACAATTATATATTATACATATAAAGTAACTAAAAAATATATATTAATTAAACCCGTTTGACTGGTTCTGGTTCGACCACTGGTCCGACCAGTGAACTATTGAACCGACAGCTTCACCGGTTTGATTTTCAGAACATCGATAGAAACAAAAGTGCAACAATAGCTGACATCATCTTTTTACTGTGCGAGGATGATGATACTGCCAAACTGATGGACTATATAATATACAAAGAAAACACAGGTAAAACAGGTAAAGCGTAAAAAAAACAAAAAAAAAAAGAATGTGTATATCTAAATTTTTTATCTCAATTACCTTCTTCTGTTTGTTTTATATTGCAGTATCTGTCTTCATATGGTTATTTGTTTGTGAGCTCCGCCTTTTTTCCACATGTGGTATCCTTCATCTTTTATAACAGTCCATTGAAGCCTTGCCAATTTTTTCTAGAACATTTGTATATTAGAACTGATTTTTATATAAAAAGCAACCATATAACATATACATATATACATAATCAAAACAGAACAATGTGTTTTTCATATACATCTACTCGAACTAAAACAAATCTGCAGTTATTTTCTTTTTCAATGGTGTGCAAAATATGATATCGGCATGGATGACATGTATAGGAGAGAATAACATAGGGATGAGTGAAATTATTTGTATCAGTAGAATTTCGCTCACACAAAACAGAATATCAAAAAAATTTATGAGATAATGACTATTTATAAGAGATTATAGGTGTTTGACCATATCTTTGAACGTATATCCGATATCATTATGATTTTTTAAAAAAGATATATACGTTCGCAATAAATAATATGGTAAATTAGAAAAAGGAACCAGTCTACTTAATTAGTCTACAACTACACAACACTATTTAGACTTGTAATTAAATTAAAGTTATTCGATATCAGCATTTTACAAAAATTTATCTAATATATTTATTTGTAATTTTATAAAAAACACCCTCTTTATAAATATTTTTAAAGATTCTATTTGGCAGTATAAATCTTTTTCGATTCAAATAGAAAATTGGATATTATTTGATTATTTGATATTAAGTATAATATATAAATTTTATTCGTCCGATACTTGAACGATATTTATCTTCATAACTATGGAAAATATTCTTATCGGTAATAAGATAACATGAGCATAATATTTTGATTACATATAATGGTGATATTCGAATATGATCATGTTGATTGCTGATTTAGCAAATATCATTTCATTTTTGTAATCTATATAAATATAAAAAGGTTTGACATTTATCTAAAATAGTAACTGAATTCCCGCCTAAATTTTTAAAATTTCTAAAATTGGCATCTTTTTTGAAAATTTTAAAAAAATTCCCCCTAAATTAAATTAAAATATTTATAAGGAAAAAATCACAAGAAAAAGATCGTAAAAAGATTGTTTGGAGTACAATCCATAATTTTATCTAAACTTTCAGATATTTTCTTCATTATTTTTTAGGAATGTAATTTCGACTGAAAATAAGAAAAACCAAGCCCTAAATTTGTTTGACCCTCTAATCCATTATTATTGTTCCACTTCTAGCAGCAACCACACCAATTCTGGTCCTGCTAGATGATTTCGCGGTCATATCGTCGCCTTCCATCTTCTTCAGGTCGCTCGAAGCGTGATGGTTTGACCTCAATTTCAAACTCGCGGACGATCCCAAGCTCGCCTTGCGGAGATACGGGCAGTACTTGTATGATGTCGTCATCGTCTTCTCGCAGACCGTAAGCGAACACAGCGATACACATTAGTTATATGATTGCTTTTGCCAGTCGATAGTTGTATTTTTTTGGTTATGCTATAGAGATTAGGGTTCGGTGGGTCTGTAGATGTTGCATCGTTGTGGAATTTTGTCGATGCTGTTATGATTTGATTCCTGCTGCTGATGCATCAGCGTCTGAATGAATGAATTAAGGAGATTGTTGTTGAATGCAGGGTAGACTTTGATGACGTGGGATTCAGTCGGTTTACAAGATTCTGTTCGTGCTTTTGTTATTGATTCGAAAACAATGTTTTGTTTCTGTATTTTGAAATATGCTAATTAATTTGAAGTGTTTACCCATACGATCCAGCAGCTCTGGTGATTGATCACGCAAGCTATGTAGTTTCGGAGATTGAATGGCGATGATTTCATTCAGTCTGAGGCTATTCTGGTCCGTAAGAAAATCGAGGTAATATATATATTTTTTTTTGTTCTCTGAAGGAGTTGTTCAGCTGCGCCAGCAGTTTGTTCGCACCAACATGACATAGCTATATCCTGAAAGTATCTTCTCATATGTATTCAATGTTATCAATGGCGGATGGCGGTCCATGGCGGAAAGCCAAAAAACCGCCATATTTATATGGCGGATAGCGTAGCGGAAAATGGCGGAAGTTATGGCGGACGCAAAAATATATAGTTTATATATATTTATACATATAAGCCCAATGTTCTTCTCGGACTTCCGCCAAACATTTTTTGCATGCTGCAACATCTCCCTTTTTTCCCATCAAATGGTTCTTGGCCCTTGTTATTCCTCCCTTCATAATTTTCTCGCAATAGTTACAAACAACTGTGTTTGTATCTCCATTGTTCGGTGCATGGCAAAATTTCCAACCGATGTCGTTTTTAGTGTTGGACCTGCTAGCCCGTGAAGGGACACCGTCTGACATTTCCTGAAATTTATAAAATGAATACTTTATCAAATCTTATTCTCAAACAATAATAAGCTTATAAACTTCAACAGTAAGCCACCAATAATATAACTAATGTGTATATAAATAGTGTGAATATACACATTATAAAGCAGTAAAGCACAATGTAGCAATTAGCAAAATCTAAGTATAAATTTCAACACACATTAAACATAAGGCTTTCATTCCATACTTTCAGTTTCAGTAAACTGAAAAAAAAAATTGAAAATAGAACGAAAATAAAAAAAAAATCTGAAACTGAACAAAAAAAAAAAAGCTTTCTTTCATTCACTTATTCACATAAAGCTTTCTTTCCATACTTTCAGTTTCTTTCCATTCACTTATTCACATCATTAATCATCAATTATGAAATGAAGGAAAAAAAAAATGGCCTAAATCTGAAACTGAAAATAGAAGAAGAAAAGAACTTACTAGTGATTGAGAGTTGCCTTGCCGGAGCTGGAGTCGCCGGTCACCGGAGGGTTGGGTCAGTAGAGAGCGCACGCCGCACGGAAGCAACATATAGGGAGAGTTTGAGGAGCGTAGGGTTTTTGTGTTTCAGGAAGAGAGAAGTCCGTATGTATTATGTTTTAAAGTTTAAATTTTCTTTTTTTTTTAGTACTTGGGCCTGTAAAGAAGGCCCAATTTCGTTTTTAACCAAAATTGGCCCAGATTTCCGCCATTTCACGCCATATCCGCCATACCGCCATGTCCATGGCGGGCGCCATGGCGCCGCCATTGCAAATCCGCCGTATAACGGATATCGGATGGCGGAAAGGCCAAAAACCGCCACGCCATTCCGCCATGGCGGAAATTTGATAACACTGCATGTTGTACAAGCGGTGATATACGGAGAGCGAGCGTGGAAGGAGCTCACGTTTCCACGTCTGAGGTTTATTGGTTCTCTTGTCGGTGATCTTCCGTGGGTAGGTCTCGAGGTCGTAGTACCTAGTATAAGCCAGCGAGACCGTTATGTATCACAGTGGAATTGGTTTTCCATTTGTACAATTTTTACATGGCTCGCGGTATTCCTTTCCCTACGTGACTTTTGATGTTTCATCTGAATTTCTGAGGGGGAAGTGTGTTCTATGTATGCCTCATGGATATGGGTCCGAGCTGAACCGTATTTTCATCCGTGGATTCCTTACATGTGAGTATTAAATTTAATTTCTTGTTCTTCAATTCACGTTTTTATTTTCAAAGAAAATTTAATATTAATACTTGTAAATATAGGGTGTCAGAGTGCGTGTAAGTTCGTTCCGCTATATTCTCATAGAGTATACTGATACGATTGACGCGTATCTCGCAACAAAACTACTGACGGGCGTCCTTAACGCATCATGGAAGATGGTGTGGTTTTTGGGACAATGTAAGATTTTAATTTTTTTTGTTGAAACTTAAATATGAATATCAATATTATAGATATGAGTAACATAGATTTTGTAAAAAAAAATTCTACAGACAGGAGACAAGAGTTTGTGAAGGTAGATGGCATATCGTCAATGCATGTTTCGACATGCTATTACCCTGGTGGGTGTGGAGTGGATGAGGGATGTGCCAGAATACCTACGGGAGGTATTTTGGCACATATAGTATCTTCCTCCCTCATCCACTCCACACCCCACCAGGTAATACCATGTCGGAAACATGCATTGACAATAGGCCATTTACCTTCACAAACTCCTGTTTGTAGAATTTTTTTTTCTATGTTACTCATATCTATAATATTGATAGTCATATTTAAGTTCCAACAAAAAAAAAAATTAAATACTAACATTGTCCCAAAACCACGCCATCTTCCATGATGCGTTAAGGACGCCCCCGTTAGTGGTTTTGTTGCGAGGTACGCGTCAATCGTATCAGTATCCTCTATGAGAATATAGCGGAACGAGCATACAGGCACTCTGGCACCCTATATTTACAAGTATTAATTATTAAATTTTGACTTCTAAAATAAAAACGTGAATTGAAGAACAAGAAATTAAATTTAATACTCACATATACGGAATCAACCGGATGGAAATATGGTTCAGCTCGGACCCTATGGATAGAGGCATACAGCAATGCATAGAACACTCCTCTCCTCGAAAATTCGGATGAAGCATCAAAAGTGGAAAGAAATATCGCGAGTCTTGTAAAAATTGTACAAATGGAATATCAATTCCACTTCTGGTATATAACGTGTCCGTTGGCTTATACTAGGTACTACGACCTCGGGACCCAACCACGAAAGATCACCGACAAGAGAATTAATAAACCTCAGACGTGGAAACGTGTGCTCCTTCCACGCTCGCTCTCCGTATATCACCGGTTGTACGACGTGTGCCCAACAATTTGCTTAAAAAAAACAAAAGTGGTTCAAAACCATCTCCAAGATTAGGAACCACTTTTGACATTATACAACTTTTAGATATTGATGTATTTCACTATTGTAACATTTTACTAAAATGTAATGACACTTTGTATTAAGTAACACTTTTATATATTTAATAATATTGGAATTATCATTATTAGAAGAAAGACATTTAGAAATGGCAAAAAGACATAGACTTGACCCGGAGCATTTGGGGCAAGTGTTGTAAACGAATCGAATTGAAACGAATACTTAACTATTCAATTCTAATTCGGGAAAATATTCGACTATTCGTCTTCGATTTGTAATTGATTTAATTTGGAATTCGTATTCGAATCGATTAAGATAATCAAATATATTCGATTAGATTCGGTACTCGTTTTAAGAAATTATCCATAAATATTTTTATGTATTTTTTGAATATATGTTTGGAATATAATATATATTTTTAAATTAAATATTTAGTTTTATCTAATGTTGGGAAATATAGGATTATGAAAAAATGCAACAATCAATATATTATAATCATTTTTCTTTCAGAAATATTATAATAAAAAAAAAAACTTGTGTCTCCATGATGTATCAGCGGGAGCACAAATCTGTTGAGCCTTGTGAAGAACGGATTATTTTCGAAATCGGGTTCCATCTAACAATGCATTTTAGGCAGGTCAAATTCCACAATCACATGAAAAATAGCGGTTTTGCTATGAAGCCAACAGTCAAATTCGAATACGAAATCCATTTATTGTTTTGTGTTTGAAATCGTCACTGATGTTTCCAATTTTGTGAAGACGAAAAGATGTTTTTCAAATTTCTCAAGATTGTTTTCTCATCTTAGAAAACAATTGTGAAAATCGAAATCTTTCTCCGGTTGTACTTCAATCACCAAGGACAAACGGAAGATCCTTACATTGGCATTTTTGTTACCCCAGGCGGAAAGGTAATATCGAATTAGGCTTCTCGATTTAAGGTTATGCTTTTTTTGTTCAGTTTTGACAAAAGACACATTTTTGTTTTTATTCCAATTTTCTGAAAAAATGGTTGAACATGTGTATGTATATGTTGATAGTAGATCTATTATGGCATCTTTTCTTTCATCCGTTTGGTCTGTAATTGTGATAACATAGATTCTTAAATTTCTGAGCAAATAACATGATGTATTTTTTAATTTAGATTTTTTATATATATTTTTCTATTGTCAAATTTCAAAAAATTTCAAAATGATGTTTTATTTTTAGAAATCTTTGTTACTGTCATGCTTTTTTTAGCTTTAATATTATATACGAATCGGTACAAATATTTGATTGAAAGAGTTTTATATGAATTTTCTGACAAAAAAGATGTTAGAACTGATCCTTCATCTGTGTAAACATGCTAAACCTGTTGCGGAATTTTATAAGTGAGCCTTCGGGTTTGCTTAGTTTCGTAATCAAGTATTGCTAAGTACATATGTATATCTTCTGACCATATTTTTTTATTTTTGTGCATGAGAATCGTGGATATATACTAAGGAACTTTGATGAAGTACAATCAGCTGCAATATTACATAGCACAACATAAAATACAATTGTGTTTACAGGTAAGTGTTTTACATATATATGTTAATTTCAGCGAGTATAAATGTATTAAACATTTTTAAAGTGAGATCATAACAAAAAGTGAAATTAAGTAGAAGCTTAATATATGAGATAATTTTTATGTCCTCGTCTTATATTTTTTTCTAAGATCTTATAATCTTTTGCTTACAGAATCATGTGAAGCTAACTGGTGGCAAACATGGATCATCGACCTCATAAGGTTTGTTTTCCTTACATATGTTTCTATTTCATTATTTTATTTGTGAGACATGTTTACATTTTGATGGATATTATGTTATGTTTAACTAAATTGACATATTTTAATTTATGTTTTACTTGTACTAAAATATGTTTTTGGCATAAATAAATAGTCATTCATTTGAAATGTACACAATACACATGTTTCTAAAAATAATAACTTTAAACAATTTCTTAACTGAGCTTAATTCTTATGTGTGTTACTGGTCATAACATATGTTATTGATTTTCTTCAATAAAACTTAGGGATATATATTGAAATGATGGATATGTGTATACAAATCAAAACAGGACCGGACCGCCGGTTCGACCGGTTCAACTGGGAACCGGCCACTATATCGGTTCAGTTAGTGGTATGGAACCGCTAGGTCTCAAAACCGGTCAAAAACCGTTTCAATTGGCTAAAACCGGTCAAATCGGGAAAACCGAAAGCGGCTAGACCGGCTGAGCGGTCCGGTGTTGCATTTGCATTAACCACTTAAATAGCTGATATTTTTTGTTTGTGTATCCGATTTGGGATCTACACAAACAAAGGGTTATTGGGCTTTTATTGCATTATTGGGCCTTATTTAATAATTGTTTAACGAATCGGTGTTGGCACTTGGCACCTCTGTCACTCTGCCTTATTGGGCATATCTAAAGCAAATATTGAACTGAGCTCCTTATTTGGCCTTGCTATATAGTAATTTGTCATTTACCTTATCGGAGTGATTCCTAATTGCTTTACAAAATTTATCTTACATTATAATGATATAATCACATTATTTTTTATGAAAATAATATTACTAATTAATATTATAATATCATGTTAGCTAAAATAATTAGACTATGCTCGATTTCTTATTTACTTTTTCTTTTATTTATTTAGAAAAATGTCATTATGCACTATAAAATCAATGATAACAATATATACAATTATATATTTTATACATATAAAATAAATAAAAAATATATATTAACTAAACCGGTTCGACCACTGGTCCGGCCAGTGAACCGTTGAACCGGTAGCTTCACCGGTTTGATGACCGGTTCGGTTTTCAGAACATTGATAGAAACAGAAGTGCAACAATTGCTGACATCATCTTTTTACTGTGCGAGGATGATGATGACTATACAATATACAAAGAAAACACAGGTAAAACAGGTAAAGCGTTAGAAAAAAA